TCTTATGTACTTTATATGTAGATTGAGATAAATAAATGCTTTAAATTCACAGAATATCATATTGTATGAATACCTGCCGGTGCTGTTCGATGAGCCCACACCACCTTATAATGGCTTTAAGCCAGACATTCACCCTGGTATTAGTCATGTGTTCCAGTCAGCGGCCTTTCGTTTTGGCCATACAATGATACCTCCCGGCCTCTATCGAAGGCAAGTCATTAAACTAACCAACAAATCATTGAATCCTTTTTTATAACATTTTTGTTGTACTTTTTTTTGCAAATTTATTCAGAGATGCAAAATGTAATTTCCGGAAAACATCATCTGGTTATCCGGGTCTCCGATTATGCTCCACGTGGTGGGACTCTGAGGTTTGTACACATGATATATTGGTTTTATGCCCTCATCTCTAACTAAATATTTAACACAATGAAAACAATTGATTGAATGTTTTGATTTAATACCTATTAATATTTATAAAAGTAGAATATAATGTATTTTATGCTAATTTTATTAATACTATAATGCTATTGAGTTTTCATTTAGTTTGCATTAATGAGTACTCATGTTCTCAATGAGATTATAATTAAAAATTATTATTCCTTGTGAATGAATTAAATTCTAATTAAAATATTTAACACAAAAATGTTTATTAAATTTATGAGAATTTATTGTCTTTTCTAATAAATAGGAAATATTGCCCGAAATAGGAGTCGAAGAACTATTAATGGGTTTGTCGTCACAAATCGCTGAAAGAGAAGATTCTGTGCTCTGTTCTGATGTCAGAGGTATTTGTCTTAACAATAGTTTATTATTATAAACAGTATTATTGCCATAAACTTCTACTAACAAAACATGATTGTCTTGATTTTGAAATACAAGAACTCATTCTTTTGACAAATATTGATATTTTTTGCAAATAATACTCTATTTTATATAATATTTTCAATATTTGTTCCAATTTTTCATTATTTTTGTATTATCTAAGAAATTATTCAATCAAATGAATGTTACTATACGTGACAATTAGTTCGTAACCAACACTTAATTTATTCAACAAAAACACATTCACTTTTTTGGCAGATTTGATAGAAACAAATGTTAGTAATTATGATATGAATAACATTTGAGAAATGTCTATAAACTCCGGCTAAAGTCAAAGATCTAGAGATCTTTCACATATCTCTAGCTTTTAATAACAATTGCACTAAATTTAGACACAGCCCTAAACCGCCCGCGCCTTTCGATTTCGGTCTGCTCTTGACATTTGAGATTTAAAAAGTAGTTATTTTTTATTTTCGTTACTTTGCAAAAAAAACTGTTTTACATATCATTAACTCATTTTCAAATGAAAGACATTAAAACTTTAATTTTTATATAAATTTTACTGATTGCCTAACAGTTCTCATGCGAAACCGATAGCGAAATTTACAAACATTTTTATACAACATTTACGACTATATTTCAAATAGAAATTCTTTCCCATATTATTATTGTTTAAAATGTATATTTTAGTCGTGAAATAAGTTTTCGATTTTGTGTGTATTTTTTGTTGTAAACTGTCTTTTAATATATGATATAAGAAGAGAAGACTTTTGAGAAGCACTTCATTTATTACATAACAGACCTGTATTTATCTAGAATTTTATAACACAAAAAGTATAATTTGAATGTGAATTTAGGTCATCATAACATTTTATATTCTCTCTCTCTCTCTCTCTCTCTTTCAATAAATTTATACGCTTTTAAAGTCATCTCTTCAACAAAATAAAGAAACAACAAAAAACAGTTTTTTGTGTTTTTCTTTCGCTTACTTTTTTGATTCTTAAGAATTCAACACTTTTTTCAATTTAAATGAAATCGAAAGTTGTTTAGCATTTAAAAGAGAAAAGGAAAACATATTCTACTCTTGAAATCTTAAAGTTATGATTAAATATTTGTTTGAATGAATCAATGAATGAATGAGTGAATGATGTCGTGTAAGAACAAGGCTTTCGATGTGAACAGTAATTCAAATATCAAATATTGAAAAAATATTACAGAGTTTTTAAAGCATTACTTCTTTCAATACATTTTTTTAAACACTGAAAGTCTTTTTTGTCTACTTTTTTAAGCGAAACACGACTTTGAAAAATAAAAACTATTAATTGAATGCATTTCTGAGTATTAAAGCCTTGATTTTTTTGTTATTTAGGGTTCGATTAGATTTTATGGGTATATAATTTCGATTAATTAGTCTCACAAATATCTTAAAGTCAGTTAAATTTAAGGTTAATTTTCAAATAAAAATTTTGTAAAATGAAAATGAATTTTATATAAAAATATTTGAGTTGCTTTTCTGGAAAAAATGAAAATGTCTATCAAATTGTTTTTCAAATCATTTGATAGACATTTGTTATATTAATGGCGTTAAAAATTAAATTTAAACAATCGATTTATATTAGAAATTTAATGTAAAATATATTTATAATTTACTGACTGAACAATTGTGTCATTTAATTCAGAAAAATGAAAATATTTTATAACCAAAACAAGTCTTTATATGTGTATTAGTTTTTCATTAATTGAAAAATTTTGTTTTATTGATTGAAAGCTTAGAAAGCGATGCAATAAAAGTTTGACTCAATTAGTCTTTCAGCGAAATGTTGTTTTCATAGTATTTATTGAAGTATTTATTGAAGTCATGGTCGGGTCATAGAAAGTCTACTTGCGATACACTTCTCGTTATATAACACGTAAACTTAGCGTTACATTACTTCACATGCAATACATCTCATGAGTTACGAGCGAATCGATCGGACGTTTAATTTATAAACATTTATTAACATTTTATATAAAAAGTTTTTCTTCATTCACTTTTATAAAAAAGATAATTTTTGGTTTGTTTTACAAATTTTTAATTTACCATTTGATTTAAGGCCAGACATAAACCTATTATATGATTGTATAGATTAGGGAAACAAATGATAACTTAAAACAACTTTGTTAGTTGTTTTATGCGATTGATAAACGAGTCTTATATAAAATAATAAGTTTCTTATGACTTGAATTCTTTGTCATTAATTGGCAACGAATGGTAAAAATAAATCCTTTTTTACATTTGAATATCTGATATGTGAGTCTAATTAAGCATTCATTTCATTGCCATTCGTTAATATATTTTCTTTGTTTTCAATGCTTTTATCATTTCTTTCCTCTTTTGAGATTAATTTGTGATAATTTTTAATATTTTGCAAATTTTATGTTAAAAATCTGAGTCGAGACGTGATTTTTGCCTCATATGTAATGTTATTTAATTACATTACCTGTGATTTTGTTTTGTTTGCATTTTACAAGAAAAATCGTTTCATTATTTTAAAGCATATATTAATTATTTTCTCACAAAATTCTAAATACTATTGATTATCTCATATAACATATAACATAATTAATTAAATATAAAATACTGAAAATGCTATTCATTTATACATGTTTATAAAGCGCTTCATTTGTTCCCAAATGTGTGTCATTTAATTCACTCTTCAGGCTATATATGAGAATTGAAGGCTAAATATGTTGAAACTTCTGTTTATTTTAATAATACAATTAAATTACCATTTATTTTGGACTTAATTTCATATTTCAAATACATTTTATGCAATTTACAAATTACACACATTAAGCGAAACACATCATTAAAATTAAATATGTTTTCAAATTAGACAAACTGTTCGGTCCCATGGATTTCAGCCGAAGAGATTTGGCTGCGCTTAACATAATGCGGGGCAGAGATAACGGTTTAGCCGACTATAACACTGTTCGGCGGTCTTTCAATTTGCAGCCCATTAAGAATTGGACACAAATTAATCCATACCTTTACGCCCGGAAACCGGAACTCTTTGACCAATTGTCTACACTGTATGGACACGACTTGGACGACGTGGACGCCTATGTCGGCGGAATGGTTGAGTCCGACTTCGAGAGGGGACGTCCGGGCGAACTCTTCAGAGCCATAATTAAGGAGCAATTCGTCCGCATCCGAGACGCCGACCGGTTTTGGTTTGAAAACTCGCAAAACGGTATTTTTACCGAAGAGGAGATCCAAGAGATCAAGAAAATTCGTTTCTTCGATATTCTGGTCAATTCCACTGCCATTCCCGTCGATGCCATACAACCCAATGTCTTCCTATTCAGAGACAGTGATCCGTGTCCTCAACCCTCGCAGTTGAGCAGTAAAGTACTGGAGCCGTGTGTAGTGCTCGCGGGTTGGAACTACTTTCACGGCTCAGAATTGCCATATATTTTAGTTATACTTCTGCTCACATTTATACCAATTGGTAGATATTTTAAAGTCTATTTATATTCAATATTTATTTTTTTTAATCACATTTTTCCATTGTATTAAAAGTTGTCGCACTTTTGGGTTATGGAGTCATAAAACTGCAAAACAGACGGCGAAGGAAACTGAAGGCAAAACAGGAGATGACAAACACTAAGAATTACGATAAATTATGTAAATATTACTTTAATTGTGGTTATAATGCATTTTATTACTATTTATAAACGTATATCCGATTAATAGATGTGAGAGAATGGTTACATCAGAATCACAAACGTTATGTGAAGGTGAAGATCGGTCCGGAAGAGTCCATCTCTACTATTAATAGAAAAGGAGAAACTTTAAGACACATTAACTTTAAAGACGCCAACTCTTTGATGGTTGAGGTGACACAAGACTCTCACAAACCAATGGTTTTAATCCGTTCGCCACGAGATCACGATTTGGTGCTTCAGTTCGATAACATCGGAACCCGAAAGAAATTTTTGGCCAAATTGGAGGCATTTCTGTTGAACTACAAGAAAACGCTGGAAATAATCCACACCTATAAGGATGTAATGCTGGCCAACGCCGAGACTAAAGAGAAACGACAGAAACGATTGGAGCACTTCTTCCGCGAGGCCTATGCACTCACTTTTGGGCTCAAACCGGGAGAGAAGCGTAAACTCGAAGAAGTGAGTAATGATGTGATTATGGTTATGAGGACATCGCTCTCGAAGAAGGAATTCGCCGAAGCGTTAGGAATGAAACCCGACTCTCTGTTTGTCAAACAAATGTTCAATTGTGTGGACAAAGATAAAGACGGAAGGATTAGTTTCCAAGAGTTTTTAGACACTGTTGTGCTGTTTTCGAGGGGAAAAAGTGAAGACAAGTTACGGATTATATTCGATATGTGCGACAATGACGGCAATGCAGTGATCGATAAGTTAGAGTTGACCAAAATGTTGAGATCACTCGTAGATATCGCCAAAACTGATTCCATGGCCGAAGAGGAAGTTATGGATCTGATTGCGGGTATGTTTGCCGCCACAGGTCTTGAGAATAAAGAAGAGCTCACTTACGATGACTTCAAGCTAATGATGAAGGAATATCGCGGAGACTTTATTGCCATCGGACTCGACTGTAAGGGCGCTAAACAAAACTTTTTGGACACTTCGACAAACATCGCCCGAATGACCAGTTTTCAGATCAACCAATTGCCAGACCCGGAGCCTAATTATGTGATCCGGAAGTGGAATTTTTTGATCACTTATCTCGAAGAATATCGTCAACACATCGTTTACTTATTGATATTCTTCGTTATAACGACTGTCTTATTCTTTGAACGGTTTGTCAGTTACACGTATTTGAGTGAACACACGGATCTGAGACATGTCATGGGCTATGGAATTGCTGTCACTCGTGGATCAGCCGCTTCTCTGTCTTTTTGCTATTCGTTGTTATTGTTGACAATGTGTCGAAATTTGATCACAAAAATCAGAGAAATTCCTTTACATCAATACATACCACTCGACTCTCACGTCCAGTTTCATAAGATAGTGGCCATGACTGCCCTATTCTTCACCGGTTTGTTCAAACATAAAACATTGTCTAAAAGCAGATCAATTTTAATGTCTTATTTAATCCAATAGTTATCCATACAGTGGGACACTGTATAAACTTCTATCACGTGTCGACTCAACCCATTGAACACTTGCGGTGTTTAACTAAAGAGCTTAACTTTGAATCGGATTCAAAGCCGACATTTTCCTTCTGGATTTTTGGGACAGTGACCGGTCTGTCAGGGATTGTGCTCTTTATTATCGTCTGTGTTATCTTTATCTTCGCTCACCCGAAGATCAGACAAAAGGCTTACAGCTATTTCTGGACGGCTCACAGTCTCTACTATTGGCTCTTTATATTTAGTTTGATCCACGGATTAGCTAAACTCACCGGAGTATGTTTTTCGCTCATTGTATTGGTTTAGTAATTATCTAATTGTGAAAATTTGCTCCTTTTTTCATAGACACCTCGATTTTGGATATTCTTTATAATACCTGCCATTATATTCGCTTTTGACAAAATCGTTAGCCTTCAGGCAAAGCACATGGAACTCGATGTCCTCGACTCTGAGCTCTTGCCTTCCGGTTCGTGAATAGGATATAAATTTCTTTTATCATATAATTTCTATTAATAACACATAAATTAATACTAATTATACTTTTATTGAAATTCAAAAGATGTAACAAAAGTAAAGTTTTCACGTCCGCCGAGCTTTAAATACCTGTCCGGACAGTGGATACGACTGTGTTGTACGGCATTCAAAAAGAGTGAATTTCATTCGTTGACGTTAACGTCGGCGCCGCACGAGAACTACCTATCGGTGCACGTGAAAGCTCAGGGACCCTGGACTTGGAAACTCAGGAACTATTTCGATCCCAACAACTTCGAGAATAAGGCCGAACACCCGTTGCCTAAGATTAGACTCGAGGGACCCTTTGGTGGCGGCAATCAGGACTGGTATAAGCATGAGATCGCTGTTATGGTCGGCGGCGGTATTGGTGTCACGCCATACGCCTCTATACTCAATGACCTGGTGTTCGGCACCTCTACTAACAGATATTCAGGCGTCGCCTGCAAAAAGGTATTCATTCATTTTGCTATACATTACTTCTCTTTCTTTGTTTATAATTGTTGTCATACTTTTCAGGTGTATTTCTTATGGATCTGTCCCTCTCATCGGCACTTTGAATGGTTTATAGATGTGTTGAGAGATGTGGAGCGCAAAGATGTCACACAAGTATTAGAAGTCCATATATTCATTACTCAATTCTTTCATAAGTTTGACTTAAGGACAACAATGTTGGTAAGTGTGGCCCCAAACTGAGCCCTAAGTGTATTTACCCAAAGAATAGGTGCCAGAGATGCAAACTATCAATAACTTAACTGACATTAATAATAATTATTGTTTATATTATAAAAGTGTATATTTTTATATCCGAAATGTTTAGTACATCTGTGAGAACCACTTTCAGCGCATATCCAACCGAAGTATGTTTACGGGACTCAAAGCCATCAATCATTTCGGTCGCCCCGATATGAACGCCTTTCTTAAGTTTGTCCAAAAACAACATTCATACGTATGTTTGCAATACTTATAAGTTTTATAATTACAAATTTAATCAATTAATTGTTTTGAATTTGTATTTATAGGTTAGTAAAGTGGGTGTATTTAGTTGCGGTCCATCAGCGCTGACTCAGACCATTTCACAGGCGTGTGAGACCACCAACAATAGGAGGAAATTACCCTATTTTTTGCATCAATACGAAAACTTTGGTTAACTATTGTTATTGTTTTATAACTCGTAATTAATTTAAACACAAACTATTAGTTTAATTTTAGTGCCAATCATCTCAACGACAAATTCTTGTTTTTAAATCAGTTTTTGTTATTATTATTATTATTTTAATTGTATTATTAAATAATATTATTCATCTCATTACAACTTCTCTCACTTTCTCTCTCCATCTCTCACTCTCTCCCTCTGTATATAATTATAAAATTAACAATTAATTTAATGAGAGAGAACGAGATAGAGCGTTCATTAAGTTATAAACCCCTTTAGTTAATAAATTTTGTGATAATTTTTATAATTTATGTTAAATTAAATTAAAATAAAATTTCATAAATAGTCTGTATTTTAAAAACTGCCCAAAAATGCAATATTAGTGTTAAAACAGAAATAAGGCGTCATTTTATTAGATTTTAAACTTATTTAATGTAAAATGTGATAAAAATGCCTTAAATTTTGTAAATTTTTATGTTATTTAACGCCCATATATTGTATTAGTTTTTGAATTTGTACAAAACAATTAATAAATGACTCAATCCTCATAAGTTATCAAAATTGTGTTTGATTTTAATTATAACCGAAAGGTTAAATACGCTTAAATTGTTTGACCACAAGTTTTGAGTCAAAACATTTGACCATGTTTAAACAACAACAACAAAACTTTTGTACCGGTATAATAAAAGTAAGTTTTTGTGGGAAAAATATTGAAAATTTGGTCGATTAGAATAGATAGCAAATTAATGGGTGGTTTGGGGTTTAATGCCTGCGGTTTGTGTGTAAAGTCATGTGATGTTTATATGACTTAAACTTTGAGACCAACCTTGGTAGAATTAAAGTATACACCTATTCACTTTTATGTACCCAAAATAGTTAATTATAAGTTGCAATTAATATTCAAATTGCATTTTAATAAAAATTGGATTTTATATTAGATTATTTTATTTTGTAAAACGATATACTTTTAGATAATGTGTAAAAAAGGAAAATAAACATTAATTTTAATTGATAGCAATAGGAGAGCTATTTGTATATATTATTTATAATTATAGATTGTTTTAATTTTTTATGCTTTAATTGTTAGTATTTATTAAAGGGACCGATAATTGCTTTTATCTTCAAATCAACATTTTTTTGAAATTCTTGTGAATTCTTGTTTTTAATTTATTGGATTTAAATCAAAATCTCTTTAAAATTATATATGTTTTCTTAATAGTATATAATTAAAAATTAGTCAAAACAAAAAATAAATCATTGATTATAATGTAAATTATATTCATTAAGTAAACGCACAAAATTTGATATTGGTTATTTTGAAGGCAGGACTCCTTTGGTTACAATAAATATTCTGCAAAACAAATAATTTCTCATTGTTGCAATTATTTATAAAGTATACAATTATTTTTTATGTACATGATTAAAATATTTTAAAATAATACATTGATTAAATTGATAAAATATTATTAATACCTTATTAGTAAAGGATATTAAAGTATATTCACATACATAAAACAGAAAATTCCTTACATTCGTTTATTTCTAAATTACTTTACGAGATAAACGTTAGTGGCTAGACAATAAGGTAGCTTAAAATTGTTTAATTTTGAATGTGTAATAGTTATTTTAAATAATAATTACCTAATTGAATTAAATTAAACCCTTATTTAAATGCAATTATATGAGAATTTTGTCCAATTACTAATTGAACAAGGATTATTTAAAACGTGTGAAAAAATACTAAATGACATTGAAATAATTGAAATATTTAACACTAATTACTATTCTTTATATAACATTGAATTATTTATAGATAACAATATTTAAAGCCTTTAATAATAGAGTCACACTTTGATTGTATGCCGGGATTGTATATTAACTGTCTGTTAAATTATAGTTTATTTTATTCACTTTTGATAAAAATTTGTTTTCATTTAGTTATTAATAGTCCCATAATTTGATGATTAAAATCCGGATAACAAT